GTTTTCATAAGCTGTACGCCATAATCATCACAATTATACCAAAGTAAGGCTTGACATATCTTGCTTTGCATGTAATGCATCTATCTCGGTTTCACCGTTTGAGTTGCCTTACTGACATAAATGAACATTTGCACGATATTCTAATTTTTTGAGTTTCACCTGTAACTAGTGGAGCAAATTTGGGAAGGAAAATTACTATGTAATATGTAACAAAAATCATTTACTGAATTTTATTTTAACATTCTCTATTGAAATAGTGATACCATATATTTCATATGTATTATTTTCTCTTTATGTAGTCTGACTTAAAACAGGATTGTACCCTAAAGCCCGCACGTTATACAGTATAACTAATAGAACACAGTAAAATGTACAGAATAAGGCCTATTGGATGTAAATGAAAATACAAAATAATAACTCCTTATTCATCTATTGTGTGTGTATGTTCATAAATGTAAAATTATCAATATAAAACCACAAACCTTTAAACCCATACTAAATACACAAAACATCAAATGGTAGTAACAGCACTAGTGATAAGGTATTTCCCAAACAGTTGATGAAACTCAACTTTCAACAATGCCTGATAAACATCAAAGACAGGGAAATCTCTAGTGGGGATGCCAAAACTGAGAAGATCCTTCTGTGTATAGCCATTTCCTTTTCACAGCACCATATACCTGTTCCAAGCTGATGCTAGAAGAAGCATTCCAGTGAGCTTTCAAATTTTATTTTGTGTGTCTTATTTTTCCTGGGCTAATAAATATTTTTCCTGGGATAATTTGAAGCCAACAGAGTGGGATACATCCCAGACTTCGTAAAATGGGTTAAACAGTATTACAGTATTACAATAAAACAGTATTTACAGTATTACAATAAAATAGCAACGTCATAAAAATAGCAATATTTAAAAGCATATAGAATTTATATATATATAGAGAGAGAGAGAGAGAGAGAATACATATAATTACAGTATATATATATAGTTACACATAATAAAAATATAGAATATTAAATGGAATCTAAACTCAACAGTCACTAAGCAAAAGAGAATGTCTGTTGTTAGAGGGGACAGCTCATACTATTCTGCCCACCAAGGCCTCATGAAAGAGCCTTCAAAGTTAATAGCACTAACCTGAATTATGCTTCAAAGCCATAGGCAATAAACAGAATACAGCTCCCAATTTGTATGCTGGCCAATTAACAAGCAGCAGCATTCTGTACCACTGAAGTTTCTAACTCATCTTCAAGGGCAGTCTTGTGTTAAGAACATTTAAGTAATCAAAATATAAGATTTAGACTGAAATAAAGAGTGTAAAAACTAAGAACAAACTTTAAAAATGTAAGAAAATCAATGCTGGATAGCCTGAAGGCTGTTCCCGCAGAAGCCAATTCGATTTCCCATATGAAGGGCAAGCAACCTATTGCCCTCTGGGTTTTGTTGAACTATAGTTCCTACTTCTAGTACAGCCAGTGGTGAGGAATGCTAACAGTTCACCAAAATCCTTGTGGTGTATATCCATAATGAGAAGCAGCCATTGATAAACTTGCCGTCTGTGAATTTAATATTTTAAAGGCATTTAAGGTGATCTCATAACCATATCTCGTGGCAGCAAATTCCAGCTTGAAAATGAACTCTCCTACCATTCAGTTTTATTGGATAACCCCAGTTTCTAGTAGTGTGAGAGGAAAAGAACTGAATTTCCAGTGTCTGAAAAGATTGGGTTGCCAGCAGGAAACATGCTTGAAGGATGTACATTACATGGGATGGGGAACCGAAATGAAATTGCAGAGGTTCTTTTGTGTGAGCTAACGCTATTTTTCTTAATACAACACATTCAATTTTATTTGTGAGAAGCAAGTCTGATGGGCTGTTGAGCATCTACATCTCAATATAATATGGAAAACTTACTTGTACAGTGTTCAACATCTTAATTACAGGTATTGCCAAAATGTGTAACTCCTTAGTCAAATTGTATATATAAGTGTAATGCAATAACATCTTCCTATGTTAATATATTTTGTTCATTACTCTAATTTGTACAATTTTATTTATTTATCTATCAGATTTATATGTTGCTGGTGGCTCACAATAAAACAGAACATAAGAATACTGAAAATATATAGGAAAGTACATTAAAAACGCAACTATATATTACCTGACATTATGCCCCCACAATCCTCTAGAAAAGTTCAGTTTTCAACTTTCTATGGAAGGGAGATAATGTTGGGGACAAACAAACAGCCAGCAAGTGGTCATTCCAGAAAGGCAGCCCCATTATGGAGAAAGTTCTGGGGTTTGAGCACCCTGACCTCTTAAAAATGGGGGACACCCAGTTGCTTCCCTTGGCACAATCAACAAGGTTAAACTGAGTATCATAGAGAGATGCAGTCTTGTAAATAACCTGGAGCCAAGTCATAAAGGGATTTAAAAGTTAAAACCCACACCTTAAATTGCACCCAGAAGCTAAACAGGAAAACAATGCAGAGTCTGCAAAACAGGTGTAATGTGTGCTCACCAGCAGACACCTGTGAGTACCCAGGCCACTGCATTTTGCATCAACTGAAGATGATCTTTACAGGCAGCCCCATGTAGAACACACCAAAGTAGTCTAATCTGGTGGTAATGAGGGCAGGTGCCACTGAAGCCAGATCCTCACAACCTAAGTAAGGCCACAAATGGCACCCCAGCCAAAGCTGGGCAAAGCCCCTGTGGCCACAGCTTCTACTTGCTGATCTAGCAGGAGCTCCAAATCCAGAAGGATCCCTAAGGTGTGGACCTGCTCCTTCAAGGGCAATGCAACGCCATCCAGAGACAAAACGGGGTGCAGAGATTGGAATTTCTTTGGTCAGTTGTGATTCACAGGTGCCCCCAAGCCTGATTTTCTAAGGTAGGGTAAAGATCCAATGTTTTTGATGCAGTGCCCCACAGAAATACATAAAATCATTGTTATCTTATGCTGGGCTAATCCCACCTACTTTCATGAATAACTGTTGGGATTTTAGCTCATTTACATTGCAATCTCAGAATCAAGGCCTTTTGAGTAAAATGGAGCTTTTCGCCAGACTAGTGGGTATAATAGAGCAACTTATATCTCATTGTGGATGGGCTTTTAGGCAGGAAATTCACATGAATGACATTTCAAGGAAAATATAAAGACAAGCAAAGGAAAGGTACAAGAAAAAATAAAAGAATCAGATACAAATTAATAAGCAAAGGGTTTACAAATGTTACAGAGGTTATAATTTTCCAGTATACCAATTGTTGATTGTGAATAACTATATTGTTTTAGAAGCCTGAAGATTTTTATTAAGCTCTGAACAAAGAATATTGGGAACCATGGTCAATGAAGTATAAATCACAGAAATTTTAAGTATAAATCACCGGAGATTAGGAAGTACAATAACTTCTATTCATATTACTAAAAGTCCCTTTTAATTTAGAAATCTTATAAAGTTGAAGTACAGATTTTGCGCATAAAGAAACTCAGATTTTACAAGTTTATTTTTTCCATCTGGAAATATCTGCTATTACATGTTTCCACCTCTGTAAATACTTATTTTAAAATAAATCCCTTATTTTTTGTCAAATAAATTCCTAAGTATACGACCTTTTTTACAGTAATGTCAAACCTTATTAAAAGAAGTAGGTATTGCTTTTTTCCTTCATTAAATTCCATGTCAACATTTGAGTTTTATTTTCCTTGATTTGATAATCTGACACAATCCCATATTGCTGTGTATATTCCATTAACAATACAAGGGAGTAATTTGGTTGAGTAACTGCAAGTACATAATTGACATATAATTTCAATGTGTGTTCTTAAGTTGATAATTTAACTCATGAAATTTCCTTTCCTTTGCTTTCCTTAACTTAGGCAGGAATTTCTTATTTAGTAATTTGAAGGATTGCATTGTCAACTC